AAGATGCAGATGGAAAAAGAGGAGAAATAGGACAATTAATGTAAAAGGTCACCAAGAGCAGTTTTGATCTTACAAAGATATTTTCCTCAAGTGTCATTAACTATGCATCTCTTTAGAGAGAGATCCACTGCACATCTCAGTACTACTAATAATTGACTTTTCTCTTCTCGTATTTTCAACTGCCACTATGTTTTGTTGAGCAAAACCTATCTTTAGCCAAACTTGAATTTGTCCTGCCTTTCTTTCAGATGGTTCTCAGTCAGTCAAATTGAAARGGAATCAGAAATTACTTGCAGAAATTAGAAATTTCTAAAGTGCCACCTGGAACCCTGTAATGCTGTTTTTTTTCTCTTGACTGTTTGAAAAAAAATATTCTTCCAGAAATGCCTCTCATCCTTGGCTATTTTGATAAAAAATATTTTTTCAAATGGACCATCATCATTACACTCAAACTACTAGTTATGGAGATAATATAGCAATCACTATCCTTTTTCTAAAAAATGCAGAATCCCATTTCTATCTTTATTGTATTCCTTTTCATATTTTTGTTAATTGTCCTTGTACAAATTATTTATTTTGATTGGTCATTTTAGGCATTATATCTTTACGCAAAAGAATAGTGCCTGAATTCTTACTTTTTTCCAGGGTTAGCCCCACTGGCATGCAAGAAACTACTGTAATGAAGAAATCAGATTTGGACAGAAATAATGACCTATTATCTCTAAGCAGCTGGAATAACGATTTTTTTTTTCTGTTTCAAGATAAAGTTAAATCTCAAGTGACTATTACTGTAATATAACTTAATGCACTTGTCCTGTTTAATTTCTTCTCATATACCTTGTTTCACAATCATTTTGAGAAGCTTGGAAAAGAAAGAGCTGTACCTCAGAGAATAAATAATTTGTTGAGGACATGCCATTCATTACTTTTTGGTTGTTAGACAGAATTATTGAATCTATTTGTTCTCACTTCTGCTTATTCTAGTATGATTTTGAGTATTGTCTGGTATGTGCACTCCCAAGGCAATTCCAGATGAGACACTGAAAAATTTTCTTCTTGGAAGGAAATTGTTTGAAATCAATCCATTTTCAAGCAGAGTTAGTACTGTTCTTCTTAATGCATTTGCTCATTTCAAGATGTTTAGCTATTAATTCTTCTGAGATTAATCAAGTGGTAAATCAATTAACATCAGTGACATCTTGTCTGGATCTGTGGCCCACATGGCTAGCAAACAACTGTTTGCTCACTTAGGTTCCAATTTTTACATGCTTTACAAATTTTTGACCAATTCTCTGATTTTTCCAGATGCTTTAAAAATTGGCTGCTTATCTGTCCTGTTTAAAAAAAAAAAAAAAAAAGCCTCTGCGCTCTCCAAATGAACTGCTATTTTGGTTTCATTCCAAGTTTGGGGTTTCTTGATTGTTTGTTTATAACAGTTTTTGAAAAAAATGACAAGCAGTTGCAGACCTCTTTTGTTTCAAATGAGATGTCTCTTGTAGAGAGGAAATTTCAATCTGGCAATAACTCAGTTTTTATTATAGTGAAGGTCAGACTATGGGTTCCACAAATTGGTTTGAGTATTGTTCATATACTATTAAATCTCTAGATATAAATAATCCCACACTATCATTCCTTAAGAAGAAAACATAAATAAAATATATCTCACGAATTTTGCAGTAAGCAGATAGATATGGAGATTGTATGATAGAGAGATTGATTTAACCATATACTTTTTCTTTGTCCTGGAAATCAAACCTTTGATCAGAAGTTTTCTGCTCCAGAAATTCTTGCCTGTTTTTTTATGATTAGATAAGGATGGCAGATAAAACAGCATGGTTCAGTTTTAAAATCTTCGAAGCTTTCTGTTTCTAAAAGTAAACTGGGATTTTGAAATCTAATCTCTCTCAAAGCAACTAATTCCAATTTATGAGAGTTTGGTACTGTTAAGTGGAGGCTACTGTGTCCCTGTATCTTTTATCTTCCATTCCTTTTTGAATCATCAGTCGAGCGTGGTGTATCTTGAATCTCTCCTTTTAAAGTTGAGAGGAGTATTTTAGTACTTTATTTTTTACCAGGAGCATGGACAGCTTGCTTTATGGAATAACAGACTGTTTAGATTACAGATTATGAAGAATGCAGCTCTTGGGATTCCTAGAGGTCTTCTTGAAGGCCTGTTTTCTTAAGACTTTACACAAACTCCCAGTGAAATTCCTGATCTGGTATAAAATGTTACTGTTTTTTTTTTCTTGGAGCATGTTACGTGACTGTCCAAGCATACTCTATATTACAAGCCCTTAATGCTCTTTACATTCCATGACAGTTGCCCCTTTTTTTGGCCTTTTTTTTTTTTTTTTTTTCCTAGTTTAGTAGATACACAGTTTCTGACATCATAGTCCAGCTGCTAGTGTGATAGATTTCACCTTTAGGAAAGGTGAAAGCCTTTAATATGAGCATATTAATGTATTAACAAGTGTTCAGGGCTGGTAGGCATTGTCTCTCTCTGTTCTCCTCAAAGAATAATTTAAAAAGGAAGGGAAAGTTATTCCTTAAAGAATGACTTTCAAGTCTATGAAAGTGCTCATTCTTTTTATGCAAAGATATAGAGGAGAAATTAATGGTCACAAAGTGACACAGCTAAAAAGAAATAACAAAATATCTATATGCAATAGATAAGAGATTCACATATTAATCATTGTCCTTCTTCAGCTTATTCCAGCTCCACTTCCTGTGATTTCCCAACTGTAGTTACAAAGGCCAGGTTACATCATCTTAGCATAGACCACAAAAATCCCCAGGGTAGTGTTCTGTGAAGGAAAGGATACCCTCAGAAATAAAATGGTACTACTGCAAGGGAAGCAAGAAAAGCACATGTAGTAAAACTATRTGGAACTCTATTTTGGATAGTCTTGTACAACCTAGTACGTAAAGGAAGTCTTAGATTTTTAAATAACTCTATTGGATTTCAAGATGGAGGATTATGTAGTTACTGAAATGTAAAATGTGCAAAAATTAGTGAATGTCTTTACATCCCAAGTTTTTCTCCATTGTATAGAAATTTGTACCATAGTTCTGAAATGTAATTGTGTTTCATCTGTTGTAGTTTTACCTATTCAAGTAAGCTTCTTTTGTTTAAGACCTATCAATATATGTCTTTAAGATCACTGGGAATAAGAAAGGGGCAAGATTTCCTAGGAATAGGTTCACTGTGGTTTTGCAATAACTTCTGTGCCCCTACTGCCTTCTCCTGAAGTTCTAGTTTGTTGAAGGTAAAATCTGCCATCCAAAAACCTGAATTTATGCAGTTTGAAAGAAAGAGAAAGTACTCATTTAATTATATCCTCAGGTCACATACTCATTGKTTTTTTTTTCCCACTAGCTTGATTTCATCTCACAGGAGAAGACTCTGCTTCCCTAGTTAACTGCCATACAACACTGATTCCTCAAATATTTCCCCAAATTTTGGAAAAAAAAGTCTAGAAGATATAAAATACTGCTGGGGCAAGGAGGCAGCCTACACAACATTTAGTACATCCAACAGGGAGATGAAAGAAATTTTCCTGTATCTTTCCATGAGAGCCCATAGAAGAATCAGATATGTGTGGAAGATTCCTTTTGGTTYATGGCTGCTTCCCAAAGATATTTCTCATTGAAATTTCTAGTGACCTGACCATGTGTCTGTTTAACAGCATAGAGCCATGTCCCCTTTGCTCCAGGAAGCGGCCCACTCAAATCATGTTAGGTCTTCCCCACAACCTACACTTGCCCACAATGTCCAGCTGTGAGTGAAGCCGGGGAAGCTGAGGATGGCTGTGAGGAGAGCAGTGCCTAACTATGTATTTGTGCCCTAAAAACAAGCACCTGAAAGAAGTCTTTTGTCCACCAGCCCTAATACCTTCTCATTCTGCRTGACACAGAAAATGTTAAGGCATTGAACCAAGCTCTCCCAGAGTTTCAATGACCCCTTAGTTCTGGGCAGGACAGACAACCAATATGAGCCTGATAAATTTCATGCTGGTCTGTCTTCATCCTCAGAGCTGAGTGGAGCTGTGCTGTTGCGCATAGCACAGGCAGATACTGAGGGACTGGGGRCTCTGGGGATGTGGGCTGCAGTACTCATTTCCTCACAGCTATTTAGTCACCCATTCCATCCTCTCCACTAAATAACTTTTTCAGTGGAATGCTCTTCTTCTTCATGTGCTATCAAAGGATGAGAAAAGCTGAGAAATTGAAAAGGCCCCTACTATAGCCATGCTGCTTTAAATGGTCTTTTGAGAAAATAATTCTCCTTGGGATGTTTGACRATGTATCCAAGAGCAGTAAGAAAACTATACTCCCTACAGACTTCCTCTGTTACTGCAAAATAAATAGATAATAGCTTCATAGAGAGGATGCAAACAGCATCGTCTCACAGTGTCCCAGCAGAGAAGTTATTAAGACTCTGTTAAGGTAATTTATGTCTGTCCTGTCAAACASTTCTTCTGTAACTATTCAGATTCAGTGTTGTGTTCACAGCTACAGTGAATTCCAAGGCTCAAGGTAATATTTGAATTAGAGACATTTGAATTAGAAGTTGAAACTTTAAAGGAATTGACAGCTTGAGGAAGTAATTACTAAGATTTAGTAAATTTTTTTCAGCGTGCTATCATTTGGCTTGTTTTCCTTCTCTTTGGTCATGTTAGGAAATCATGTACAGAAGTTGATGATCATACAAATTACATTTGGGTACTCCTTTATTTTCCTTTGCTTAGCCAAGCATTAGAAGTTACTTATAGAGGAATACTACTTGTGTATCATTATAGTCTGCTTAATGCAAAATTCCAAACTGTATAAATAGGTGGATACCATACTGCTGTAAAATTAGAACATTATTTTGAAAGGACTGTAGGGAAGGGAAATTAGAATTGTTTGGTTTGGATATTTTTTAGCTTGCATGAGCTTTTATCTCTCCATTTCTATAGAATATATCTGATTTTTCACTTGATCTTTCCCTTTCTTCACAGTCCATTTCTGACCTGGAGAGACATACAGCATATTATTGTAAGGACTTCACGTGCAGGACATTTGAATGCCAATGACTGGAAAACCAATGCAGCAGGTTATAAGGGTGAGTCTCTTTTCTTCTTTGCCATCAATGGCTAAAGGATTTTTGTCATTTTTGTCATTTTGATTCTGTTTAGCTTTGAGACTTTCATATAAAAAAAGCCCCATCCTGTCTTTGATAAAGAAAAGCTCTTAAAATAACTAAAATCAAAAATGGCAGCCACTTGAATGGTACCCACCAGATCTTGCTAGTCCCTTTCAGCCCTACTTTGTGCATTGATGGAAGATTGCTAAGTATATCTTGTGTTCTTAGTTTTTTTTCATGTACAGTGAATATAGCTTTTATAGCTAGAGTAGCCTAGAGTTGAAGCTGTAATAGTTACCAGTTTCAGCCTATGTTCTCACTTAGAATTGCTGACCATTTTGATTAAAAATGATAGAACAGTGTTTTCAAATTTATGCTTCTCCCTGTGAGTCTCCCTATATTTTTTATTATTTAAGATTGCTCTCTGATTTAGAAAAAGATATTCAGCTATCAGGATTTTAATGGGACAGATACTTATCAATCAACTGTAATAAAGGTTTCTGAAATTTTGGCAAACCAGTGGCAAACCAGTGATATAGATGATTGATAGATCAGATATCACCTCAAGATGTACAGTAAATTATATCGTTGCAGCTCAAGGCAAAGAAGGAAAAAAGCCTAAATCTTACTTACTCTTAAAAAAAAATGCATATTGAAAGTCTATAGGCTGTTTCTTTTGTATCTCTGGGCTGCATCTTTTGTAATGAGAGCAGAAATACACAGTGGTACCACTAGATAAGACATATTTTCAAGTGATGACACAAGGTAGGGGAAACTGGACCTCGAATTCATACAATGTTTTATTTCAGCATGGTTTGGTTTCTGATTCCCATTCATTCTTGCTGTCTTCAATCTGGATTGCATCTAAAAAAAAAGTGGAAATTATTTCTGGGTCCAGTTCTCTTTTCGTGAAATTTCTGCTGAAATTTCTGCTGAAGAATGCAGTACTTTTTTAAGATCAGCATAAGTATTGATTTGAAGTCTTTTGTGTGAGAATCTCTTGAAACCAGAATATAACATATAAGAACCATCAAATCTTTTCCCTGGTTTCACTTTAACACTGAAACCCAACTTTAATCTATTCCAGATCAAGGCAAGCTTCCACAGAGCATCTTTAATATATCATTCTGACCTATGACATTTCTGCTGCAACTGAATAGAAACCAAAAAAATAAAAAACTTTCATTTTTGGATCCAAACCAGATTCTAACTATAGAGGATAGGTTTAGAAATGGGTATTTGACTCCAAGCCCCTCACAACTTGAAGGTTTTGACATACACAAGATTGGTTTTACCCTTTTACAAAAATCACATACCAACATGCAGAAATGTATAGAGTAAGACACAGATACTTCTTTAGTCACTACAGTGTCTGTGACTATGAATGGCTCTATATTTTGGCATGAGTTTGTGGCTGTATTATCATTTTATTGGAGTGATCTGAAATTCAAACAGTAGTTTTAAAGTAGCATCAAATGGATTTTTTTTTTGCTCATCTCACTCACAAAATTCTATCTTCTTGTGTATTTCCACTTGTTTTCTAAGAGAGACAAGCACCCTGTAGTGCATTTCACAGCATCTGTCACTCTAGCAGAGACGGTGTCGCCCTCACCACAGCAGTAGCAGCATCRGTGGCAGGACCTGCACTGTTCCACCACTGCAGCCAGCTTGATCTGAATCCTGCGAGTCAACTGTTTTAATATTTGTTGTGGCAGAGAGAGGGCAGGGAAAAGAAGTGAGAAAGGTTTCTCCACTCCCTGTGCAAATTCAGGAACATGGGAAAGCTCAGCTGTGAGATCGGAAGTCCGGAAACACAACCTGACCTGGCGGAGCTCTGCCATGGTGGACTGAAAAGCAGGGAGACAAACTAAGTGCTCCAGCCTCTGTGGAGCTCAGGAATCAACTTTAACCCAGATAAAAGCATGAGTTTTAACTAAATTATTTTGGCAACTTAGTGTGAGCAAATGGTTCCAATAAAAATTCAGCCCTCTTTAAACCTCTGTTGGTTTTGGAAGAAGGAGTAGCAAAAGATTTAGATTAAATCACGATATCCAAACCTGAACTCAGAAGGGGGTTTGCACACCACTGCTGGCGAGACTGAAACAGTATTTTACTATTGCACGTGGCAATATTTAGTATAATATTACACTATTATCCTTCACAGTTGCCAAGAGTAACAATTAAAGTACAGTTTTTCATAGATGAATTACTCCGATCAGACTGATTTCCTTAAGGAATTATATCATAATTTTGTTGATGGCAAGATCCATCATTCTTCYAAGGCATGTCCATAACAACAGAAGAGTGGGGAAGATTGTCTTAAAAATTAACTAAAACAAAGAATGTCTCAAGAAACACTGTCCCTTTCTTCCATGCATGATGGAGGGGAAAAAAAAAAAAAAAAAAGGAAGAAAAAAAGAGAAAAAGAGAAGAGAGAGACAACTTTCTTCCTTTAAAAATGAGAAGGATGAAAATAGCAAAAACTTTGAAGAACTTCTCACTCCACAAAGACTGGTAGTTGAAAGTGGGTCATCCTGTCTTTTCAGTGGGCTGTTTGCTGGGCTGCATCCCAACTCCAAGCCTTGCTAGTCACCTGCAGCATTTCTTCCTTGCACAACATACCCAGACAGAGCTCATACACATCCTTTTTGGTTGCAAGATCTCCATCTTTTCCGTCTTCCATTGATAGAAAGAAAGATTAATTCATGAAAAGCACTTGATCCAGTCAGTGATTTGCCAAAGCAAAGGCAGTTGTCCATTTTCTGGCAAATACATCTTCTGGCAAATACAGAGCTTTCATTAGATGCATGTTAACAGGCAGGAATGGACAAGAGTTTTTATCACGTTAGTGTTTTTAGTTATTGTTGTAGTTATTGTTTTATAATCAGCCAGTAGACATCTTTACATAGGAACTTACTATCTGATACTCTGTTCTGGAAAGCTCATTTTGTGGTCAAGTCAGTTGTACCTAAAATTTTCCACTGGTAAAGAGATACATTACTGTCAGCTTTACCTCACAATCGGGGAGGTTTTTATAATTAAAGCAGTTAATTAACTGATGATATGGAGGAAAGCTGGAGAACATCCCTCCTCTTTTTCTGTGAAGATACCAGAGCTGTTGTTCTCTTTCTGCTGTGGCAGATCAGTATACAAGCGCTCTTTGTTCTGCCAATTGTTTGGTCAACAATAGAGCTCACCTTCCTGCCAACTAGTTTCTACACTGAAAGAAACCAAATGAAACACTTCAGTTTTAAGAACAATGATGAAATCATCTGAACAATTCTTTGTATGTAACTGAAGCTCCCCATACTGTCAAAGAAAGTTCTCTGGGGGAGCATACCATTTAGAGGGAATGGATACTGTTGGCTTGCTTTTTGATTTTAGAGAACAAATTTTGTTCTTCCTGGCTCAAAATATGGGTAGTATCACCCAAAACAGTGAAATAAAATGTCAGTTAAAGAGAAGTTGAAGAATTATTTTTTTTTTTTTCCATTTCAGGCCATTTCTAGGCATTAGTGGAGGCTTCTTCCTACAGAAGCTGAATGATGTGATTTGAAAAGCAGTAATAGACTAACAAAGCTAAATCTCTTCCTCTTTAAATTAGACAAAGTGTCACAGCTGGCTACATTAGGAGAGTTCTGGTGTTTTATCTTAACCTTAATGCTTTATGGCCTTTGAATATAATTCTGTAATTAAAGTGCTTAATAATAACTGGTGATTAGTCTTGATGTAAGCAGCTCATTGATGTAACCAGTTCTGCAAATAATGAAGAGTTGAGATTACCTCTGTTCCTGTAACCAGTCAACTTTAAATTGTTGTAAGGCAACTGTTAGCCAGGCACAAATTCAGAGACTCGTGTGAGAATCTACACAACAACATATATATTTCAGTTCATATATCACAACACCTTTCAAATTCCTGTCTTAGGGATTTTGGTTGATATATGCACACAGCACTTAGAGCCAATACCAAGTCCTATCCAGGTCCTATCCAGGCCATAGGTAGGGTGCATGGAACAAGTCCTGGCTATTGCAAGAACCCATTTGTGGGCAGTWACCTCACCCCTGTCACGTGAAATTGCATTGGTCTTTTTTTGTAAGAGGAGAGCAAACTATATGCTATGAATCCACAATTTTTTGTGACTGAAAAATGATGCTGGTATTTTCAGGAAGACAAACTGGAGAGCTTTCATTGTCTGAGGTTCAACCTGCTCAGAAACATCCCCAAACACAAACTGTCTCACAGGTGACTTGTTTTTCTTGCTCTCCCATGTGCTGTTGGTTGCATACAGTGTTTCCTCAGCAGGATGCCCCTAATGGCACGTCCTCCAGACACCTCCTCTCAGCAGCCCCTTGGCTTCACTGCCAAGACACAACACAGCTATTTCTGCACCTCCCAGGCAATCCTGTCAAGCCAGCTTTTGCTTCGAAATATACTAGTCCTTAAGACAAGCCTCTGTAGTGTCCCTGTCTACACTACTGGTGTAATGATACTTCAGGAGAATCCAGGCTTCTGGATCCACAGTCATGTTCACCAGACATTAAGCCTCAAGATTTTAAGATTGTGGGAATTACATTTATTGAGAAACAAATACATAACATGCCATTTTCAAATGCAAACCGCATAAACCAGAATGTTGCATGGGCATCTGAGAGCAATGGTGTAGAAAAGGAAAAAAGTCTTTGGAAAGACATTTCAGCCATATTTTACATTGCATGTGACCAAGTCTTCAACCTATGTGAATTTAAAGTCTTAAAGAGATACTGGCATCACTTGCCTAGCTAAGCATTAGCCTTATATTAACTGAAGCATGGGGTGGTATTCAGTTTAAAACCAGCAAGAAGCAAACAAGCTAAAATCAATAACAAGTCTAACAATGAGTAGAAGTGTCACCATGTCACTCCTCAGCACTGAGAGAGTATGTGTGATAGGAAAAGGTGTGCATTCTCAGGAATTTTGTATCCCTGCTTAAACATCAT